GGACACCACCGCGACACCACAGGGACACCACCGGGACACCACCGGGACACAACCGGGACACCAAGAGGAAAAAAGACGGGGACACCGAACCGTACATTCTCCGAAAATGGACGCAAGCACGAACACCAACCGTGTAAGAAGTAGACCCCAAACCTGGTGGCTATTGGGGAATTACAAGTGGGGAAACTATGTTGTACATTACTTTCCCTGCAAGGGAGTTGTTTGCGTATGCCCCCAGGGTTTGCGGCAGCCCCGGGAAATATCAAGTCAGCAAGTTCTGGCGGGTAGTTGAGGCTTCTGCGGTCTGGCTCACGATCCTGGAATGCTTCGCCTCGAGCAAAGGCACCAAAAGCGCTATTGAAGCAGGAAATGGTCGGTGGCAGCTTTTTCTCTGGTGCAGGGCCTGGCCGTTCGGGTGACATCCACAACTGGTGGATGACGTGCGGGATCTGGACTCGATCCTGCCAAGACAAGCCGGAGTTGATCCACATTTCTAATTGAAATCTGAAATGTGAAGAGTACAAGACGATGCAACTTTAGTCCTCGCATACAGACTTGGACCCAGTGACCTCGAGGGCCTGGGCAAAGCGTTGCCGAATTGCACTGAATACTGCCCAATCTGCTTGTCCAACACTGCCCAACCATGGCAAATTCAGCCTGCAGACTGAGCAAGTATGCAAGGATTTAAAAAGAAGACAGCAGCCGGCTGCAAAATCTTTTTCCTCATGGCTTTCGATGGTATCATCTTCTGTGTCTGCAATGCCTTCCTCCGTCTCAGTGTCAGAAAGCTCAATTTCAATTTCCTGCAGGCAAAATGCAGGGTGTCGGCATGGAGCACACTGAAAATTGGTGGAGACCTTGTCACAGTTGCTTTCTTGGTGTACCTCGTCCGCGAACACCTGCCAGCAAGGACTCTGGCATCGAGACCGTGTTGTTGACAACAGGTCCCAGCTGCCAAGTTTAAAGCTACATGGTGCATGCAGGCATGGCTGCGTGCTCGGCATGCTCAGCTGCTGGCCGTGCCCTTGTGGAAACGCGCAACCTGCCGGCACTGCTCCAGGAATTCCTGGAGCTCCCACCGATACCTCTGGGCTGTGAGTGGGTGGCTAATCTCTTCGACCCTACTTGGTGCAAGGAAGTCCGAGTCACTTCATGATGTTGCAGTCCCCACAGGCTGCAACCTTTGCAGCGGGTGTCAGAAGTCAGATTTATGTAACAGGAATCTGCCAGCTATGTCGGCTTTCTTGCCAGGGAGCAGTTGTTTCTTTAGCATAGACCCGGTTTTCGGAGTCCAGCCTGTCCAGGCCATTGAAGTGGCCACGATCTTCTGGCCCATTCGTCTTTGGCTTCCGGGGCTCCTTTTTCCATTAAGCTGAGCTGCTGAACTGAATCATGTTGCCATAGTGGCCTTGCCGCAGTAGAAGCATGGCTCGGACACGATAGCATTGAATTGCTCGTTCGTCAAGGAGTGCGTCTTCCTCAAAAGTCACAGGCTGCAGACGTGTCAGACTTGCCTCACCATCTACTTGTGCTCTTGTTTGTTCGTGCTTCAAGGTCGCATGAAGGGGCCAGAGGGAACAACGGGAGGCCGCCAAGTCAGGACGTTGCGACGAAACATCAGGGGCTGTGTCCAGAGACAGCCCTGTTGTTCCAGCAAACACAAACGACTGTGTCAGAAAACATGCATGGCTCAGAAAGCGAAACACTCGCAAGTCGGAAAACGGGTAAACATGGGACTCCATGACTTCCCGTCTCATCGCATGGTAAAGAGGCCAAAATGTCCTTGTCGCATGATGCGCCCAGGCCAGAATCCTGGGATGTTTAGATTAAGGGACCGCTAATCAGGGCACTCCAACCCCCCATGCCCTCGGTCTAGCGGTCTGTGGTTGAACCACGTGAGCCAATAGGCGCAGGGACAACATAGTAAGAGCGCTTGAAAGAATGTTGTTTTCTCAAAATTCCTGTGCTTCTTTCCTGGGGCGCAGGTGGGCTGCTGCTCGGCCCCGAAAGGCGAGTTCCAACATCCGACACGCCTTGGCCCTCCCCCATTCACCCCTTCAACTCCATCGCTTCCTCGACGTAGAGTGTACAGGCGCTGAGGGGGTCTCTGAGGCTTACCACGAAATCCCACAACACACATTGATGCGATTTGTTCGCGAGCGTTTGGTCCAGCCGTCTCTGGTTGAACCACGTGAGCCAGTAGGCACCCGGACAACTAGCAAGCAGGCCAGCGATGCTTACCGACTATAGGCTAGAACTATGGAGCGGCAGCTTCTCCAGGGTGTTCCACCTGGCGATCGAGCGTTGCTCAAGCCTGTACTCAAAAAAAGCTCTGCAAGCTGTTTCCAAACTGACCACTTCTGCGCAGCCACGCCGAAGGCGTCGAATCTCCAAACCCCCCAAACCCAACCTGAAACACAAACTTGTCCTGTTTGTGGGGATTCTGGCACGATGCCACACAATTCTCACACGCAACAGCCCAGGCCGAACGCGCACAATTCGCGCATGAATGTTATTCTACCTGCAAATTCGGCCCAAACCGATTCATGGCCCAATCCTCTTCGTGCACACCGCTGTGCACAAAAACCGACTGCGAAGCTGCTTCTTCTGCCTTCCGGTCTGGTGCAATTTTGACTCGAAAGATCCTCAGCCACTCGGGCCTGCCACCAGCTGGACTTCATCACCTTCCTGCGATTGTGCCGCCTGCCCTGACGCGGACAACCACGCCTGTCTCGTCCACGCCTGCTCCAGTTCTCAGAGGCTGAGCGCCGAAAAAGTTCGTCGTACGCAACTGTCTTCCACCCAACTGTGTATCCTGTTGAGTCTACCAGCTGTCCACCCAACACAGACGTCACTCCTGCTTCGATTGCTTCAGCGGCCCCCACAATGAATTCATACTGATGGAGTAGCCGTGCGAGTTCGACAATGTGCCCACCTGTGCCCACCTTCATCGATAGACCGCGTCGAACGGGCTCGGATCGCCCCCAAATTGGCCTTGGCCTTTGATGCAGATTGGTCCGGGCCTTGCAATCTATCAATCTGTAGAGTTGCTACAGGGGTCGAGAAGAGTGCCTCATTAGGATGCAGCAGCAAGCAGCATTTCCAGCTCCGTCCTCAGACCAGGACACACGAATCCTGCAAAGAATCATTTTCAGGAATACCTCCACGATTGCGATCCGCTACCCGGGCCTACACCCTAGCCAAATGCGCACCCAAACTTTTTGGCCTGTTTGTCCAGAACATTCTAGAACAGTCCGCCAACCGTGCCGCTTTCGTCTGCAAGCACACAGGCGTGCACACCCACCTCCTGCTTGAACCCAAGCAGCGTCTGTGGCGAATGCAACTGTACCCCGGCTATGGACGTCACACGGGAACGTGGTGGGCAGCTGTCGTGCAATCCAAGGCCCTCGAAATGCATTTGCCTCAGTCTGCATCCCGTCTGCATTTGCTTCGGTTGCTCACCGCTCCATACCGCTCCATGCTTCAAGTTTCCTGCCGCTTGGACGTTCCAGTGGCTTCCGGACGACTTACACCTGGGCTGCCAGGTGGCCTCGACAAGTCCTGGTGTGACTATTTTCATTCATGCTGAGCCCTGTGACGCTCCCAGTAACTCCTTCCCTCATGTCCAGGACTTTGCTGGCCAAGCCCTCCGGTCGCGCAACTGCCCCCCTCAACCCAAGGCGAACACCTTGTTTGCCAGGCATCACTACGCCAGACTGCATGCACGACGTCACCTTGCTCTGGCTTGCAGCTGCTCCTGCTCAGCCTCTCACCTGCAAACTTGCTGCTTTCTGCTTCCGACTGCTGTTATGCTGTCGAATTTTGGATATGAACAGGCTTCGCACACTTGTTTCCCTTTGTGCCTCCTTTGAGGATTGCTGCCCATTCGCACGTACGAGGCAATGGGACACACCTGCAGTGGCACTTGGCTGTTTGATGCACAGTGATCCACTAAGACACTGAGCGTACCTCAAGAAAGCCTACCAAGAAGATCCGAGAAGAGAGATGGCCATGCTGGCAATAATGCGAGAAATCCTATGATGCTGCATGCTGACATCAAAGCATGTTTGCTGATCACATCCGAAGAGAATTGGTAAAGCGTCCCTGTTTGAGAACAAGTGATGAGCGTTGCGTCATGATCGAATATTTATGCGCGCACACTCTTCGTGTTGGCAGGGATCACAAATCGAACGGGGTTGACGGCCAGATCTGTGAAGGGGCTGGTGGCGGCCCTTGGCAACGGCTGAAGTTGTAGTCTTGGCCCGGGTAGGATGGCCTTGAGGAGGCTGGACTGGCAGCGCTGATGGAGCAGGAGCAGCAAACGTTGTCTGCAAAGTGGCTGGCTGCGGCTGCAAACAGGTTGCCGCGCTGCTGAGGTGCCGAGGATCCAGTAGTACACCACGTGTCAGCAGCTAAACCTTCAAAAGAGCCTACGGCCAGGCGCAGTAGTTGTTCATGAGCTGCGGCAGCAAAAAAATGCTCCCTCCACACTGTCGGTCACTCCAGGACAAGACTGAAGAGGTACAGAGCACACACGATATAGTCAGGCATAAAACAAAGCAGCACGTATCATTCTCATTGAAGTCATGCAAGCACGAAACACAACGCAACAAGTATCCTAGCCCGCCAGGGCCATAGCTTCCATCTGATGACATGATGAGAGGGGTGTTTTTCAACAAAATGTCTCCAGTGCCCTGCCTCTCCATCGGATCACATGATGGGAGGCGTCGGTGTTAGCAAGAAGTCGCCTGGGCCTCATGGGCTATGTCTTGTTCTAAGGCAGCACAATGAGAGGGGCAGGCAAAGAACGTGCCTTTGGGCCCATCCTTTCCATCTCATGGCATGATGAGAGGCGCGGGTTTCCAGAAGGGGTTTGATTCGGACTTCTAGCTGTCTGCTGACTGAGGGGCGCAGGTTTTCTCACTCGCTTTCCGACGCGACAACACCCGTTTCTGACTTGGCCTTCCGTCTTTTCTGACTTGCAGAGCCTCACATTTTTTGGGACTCGGGACCCTTCTGGCAGTGGTCTTCTGGGGAAAAACATGCATCCTTTAAAGTAAAGTAATTCCCAAACGCAACCACGGTGCGTGTGAGTGCTCGACTGAGAGATGTAGCAGGACCGTGATCTTCTTGACACATTGTCCCGGAAACGGTGTGGGTACTCACCAAACTGCTCTCCTAGCAAGCAAGGCGTACTCCGATGTAGCATCATGTGGCACGCAACTGCCAGATCACCGTCTGATAGCGAAATCAATGTTTCACTGCCATGCTTCATGGTGACGCCAACATTAACGCTTTGCATAAAGGAAAAAAAACGTGCTGCTTGAAGCATCCATCCACAGGGTCCTTCCGTGTGCTTTGTGGCAATGTGTCGGCAGCATTCGACGAACCCTGAGATTCTTCGATGTCCTCAGCAAATCAGCTGCGTTGAGATGCTGCAAAGCCCTTGCTTGCTACCGTGCTACCCCTCTGAAAGCCCAGGCAAATGCCCTTCATCATGTTGCACATCGTGCAAGCAGGTGCCAGATTTTCCTGCAAGCACTGCCAAAAGCAGCATAGAGCTCTGCACAAGAAACATGGTCAAAATGCGAAAGCACCACTCCTGAGTCCAAGCGATCCTACAGAAGCACTTCCCAGCCTCGCAATAAGGGCCCATGAAGCCACTGCGATCCGGCTTGGCAACTCCTCCACGGTACATCACACACTCCATCAGCGACACCAAAGCAGTGGCAGCAGCTGAAGCACCGACACATGAAACGTCCAAGCAACAACAACGACCTGGAGGCCCAGGCGAGTGCTGATAAACCCGACGCACTACTGCAGCAAAAACCGATGCTGCGTCCAACTGCAGACAATCAATGCAACTTTGGAAGCTCGTGGTCCTGCGGGCCAGATACGAAGCCGCGTGAGGCCGTGGCCGCGCAAGGGCGCGGGCACGCCGCATCCGAAACACGGACCTAAATTCCCTTTGGCCAACTCACGTCAGATTACAAAGCCCAACCACGGCCACCAAGTGCACTTGAGTTGCGACGCATCAAGGCACACGCACTTCGTTCGGAGATTGTAAATGGCACGCCCTGCCTTAGTCAAATACATGTCAAACCCTATCCGCCAATACCTCTTCTGCTAACAGGGTCTGGAAGGGACACCTGTGAGTTGCACGCTTTACAGACACCTTCTGTGTTCCAGGCCGGTCTGCAGTTCGCCGGTATGTGCGCAACCGCTGAAGCTGTGGAAGCTCGCCACTTCCCCTCATGGCATCTGCCGGTGCTTTGTAAGTTGGCAGCCTGGGCATCAGACGGAGACAGCGACCGATGCATTGTGATTGATTCGTCTGATTCGTGCAACATGCACCCACAACACTTCTTGACGCAGAGCTGCCCTGATGACTTCCCGCAAAACCCTCACGGGAATGTTATCTTTTTCACTCCTTCTTCACATGGGATCACCAACACGGCCATCACAGCCAACTCCATCACGAGCAGACATTCGACCGCTGCACTACTGCTTAACGTGATCTAGCCTAGCACATCGAAATCCTGAAGAGCTGCCATGGCGCTTGTGTCGCAGTTGCCGCCGGCAGCGGGAGCAAACGGACGGATCTATGGATGGCGGCTCCTCAAGGTCTATCACCTCAAGTTCTTCTTTGGGGGCACAAATTGTTACAGGTGAATGTGCTACCTCTGCCGAAGCTGCCGATATTCGATGCTTTGTCAGGAAGCTAACAACTCATCCTACAAAGACAGGAAGTTGGCTGGATCCTACAAACTCCAAACATGGATCCAAGTTGCGATGGTAGTTGGAAGCGCTTCATCATGCACCTATAGCCAGAATCAACATCTCTGATTTTGATTGAAGAATGAGTTGTATAGCGCTTTCCCCGTGTCAATGCCTTCTTGAAGAAGGTTGCCATGCTCAGCTGAATTGAATTGTCTTGCGCTCGGCGACAGCTGAAACACAGCACTTCCACGGAGGAATCTTCTTCCTGACAAAACCCATGCAGGAAATACGGGGGAAGATAAGTGGATATAACACGTCTCCTCATGTTGAATGAACAGAGAAGAGCCATGCCTTCGCCTGGCGATACTTTGGCTTCGGGCAACCTGGCGTGTCTGTAATAGGTGTGGGACGGACCTCAAAAGTGCCCAGCCTTGGCCGGCCGAGCTTCTGTCATCAATTTGCTCTTTCGCACTGTGAGCAGCCCTCTTCCGAGCAGCGTCCTACAGTGGGATCCTTGAGACATCTGATTTCTGAGGAGCCGTGGCCTCTGCAGCTGCGGCAGTAGGCGCTTACGGAAGGAGGACACATACATACTCATACTATCATAAATGGCATTTTGTAATGCAGATTGGGCTGTTGCCATCAAACTTCTGAAGTGGGAGGGGCACACTGGTGTCCTCTGGAACGGCTTTCCGCTTGTGCTTTTCAGCTTCCAAGGTCTCGGCGCCGTGCCATGCGAATTCATCTAGGTCCAATACCTGCACAGGTGAAGGATGTCTCAGATCAGGCAGAACGATTGCATGAAAGCAAGGGATCCTCCCCATGCAGCTCAGAAATGGCCGTCATCCGGCTGACAGTGTGTAGTTAAAGCATTGTTAAAGCAAGACTTCATGGCAACGTGAACTTCTTGATGCTTGGTGTCACGGCGCTGGCCGCTACAGCTGCACCTCATGGCTTTGAGTCTAATTGCTGCGCAGACGCGAGCAGCTAGCATAACAGCCAGCAAAATCTGATATCAAAGCCCGCCTATGCGTGCTCTGCAAATAATGCTAATAATAATAATAATAATAATGTGAAGCCTCAGGTGATAAATCTGGTATTGGCCATGCAAGAAGAGACCTCAAAACTTCTGCTTCACTCAATTCGGGTGTTGCGTCCAAGAGCAACGCCACCAACACTGCGCATGCTGACGCCTACTGAGACCCTCATATCATGCTGAGCAGTTGACGCTGATGTGCAACTGAAGGCCGCATGAAGTCAAGACTGCCTTCATGATGCTCGACGCAACTGGTGCAACTTACCATGTGTCGGCCTGTGCCTATGTCGCCTCTATCACATTTCACTAGAGCTTCTTCATCTTTGTTACTGAAATCTATTCTGTGTAGGTGACGCCAGGCTGCTTGCCTGAAAGAATCGGTGCATCCTTGCACGCTCTCCAGGTCTCGATCACACCTCCGACAACATCTTTACTGCACAGCGATCCTGGTTGGTTACGGGCACACATCTACTTTGCACACAAAAGCAGGTAAATCTCTTGATTTTCCTCCTCTCACCTGGAGCAAGGGATGCCGCACTAAAGCCTGTCCATCAAGATCACGTGAGGAGGTCGTTGAAGCGGCACCGCAGCGGCGCTCAGTGGCCCGAGCTGCTTGAGCTTCTTGGCAAATGCCACTAGATCACCGCGGCACGACGGGGGCATCTGCCCAGGTATGAGCAACATGAGCAACAAAGCAGTATCATGTAGTAGCATGTGGACAGTAGCAGAGAAACAACAGGAGCCTCCTGTCAGACATAGCAACTTGTCTACACATCTTCATACATCTTCAGGCGCGTGCCTTCCTCCGACATGGACCCTGTGCGAAGCCAGGCCCGCAGCACGTGCTCGCCAACCTCAGCATCCCCACTATTGCTATCTCAAGATATGTAGTCAGTGGAGTCATGCTCAAATGAAGCTTGTGCAGATTGTGCAATTGAGCTTGCAGCCGCTCATGGCCGCTGTCGCTTGTCTTGCTGGACCCTGACCATGTCTAGCAATCGAAAGTGCTGGTGCATGCTTCGCTGAGACTGAGATCCAGCCGGGGAGCCAATTGAACCAAAGGTCTCACGTACGCCCTTCTCCTCCAACCTGGGAAATGGATCATTGAGCATCTTTCTCTCACTCTCTGCGCCCACTGTCAAAATCTCTCATACGACTCGAGGCACTGCATACCAGCCAGAGAGTATCTTGGCAGCAGAGGCGGGCTCAACACCGAAGCCTCAGCAGCGTGCTCCCCTTTATGCAGTGTCGGCTTCTCAATCACGAGGATTCAACTCATGCACTTACCACATCATGCCGTGCTACGGCGCCTGTTACTGTTCGGCATGACACTCAGGCAGTTACAGTTGATACATTGTGCTACCAGCATGCGCCATCAAACCTGCGCAGATCCTCATGACTGCTGCTACAAGGAGAAATTTAAGAAAGTGAAAACTGAGCTCAACACCTTGTGGATGCAAAGCCAGGGCAAGGGCTGCTCTTTGGAGTGCGGCAACCGCCTAGTCGGCTTTGCAGTATATAGGCCATTTTGCACATGTCTGGGAGGCGGAAGCCTCAACATCTGCGTCTCGGATCGCCGTGCGTCCAACGTCACGCCCCAAGCGGCCCAACTCCTTCTGTCTGCTGCGCCATTCCTCACAAAATCGGACGAGGGCGGAAGAGAAGGGCTTAATTCTCGGCGAATTTCCCGCCTTCAGCATGTCCTTGAAGCGTGCAGAGTAGGGCGGAGCACCTGGAGGCGGCTCGTCGCGGCATTCGCGGCCCTGGCCGCCTGCCACGGCCGCCACTTCGGGAAGCCACACCCACCCAATTGCTTTGTCGCAACTCGTCCCACAAAAGGCCTGCATTCTCAGCAGTTCGAAAGCGCAGTTGATAGTCACCTCGGCTTCTTGTGGGTATTGTCATCAAAGGGACCGCGCAGCACTGTTCTCACTGCCAATCCCATCTCAAAACCTCTGAATCATCTAAGGACAGCTCCGAAAACCATGTCCATGGTTACCGAAGTCACTTCACCTGGCTGTACCTGCGCATGAGCTCAAGCAGATTTTATGGAAAGCTCGTCTCCTGAAGCATCCTCAAGCTCACTCTGCCCAGCATTGCCCAGCAAGACGACAAAGGCTTCCCACAGAAACAATTGGGTTGAAATTTGTTGTTTGCTGTTTGATTTTGTTTTTGCGTGGGTCCGTGTTTTGTTGTTTTCCTTTTTGGTGGGTTGGTGAGTGTGGGCGGGGGGGAAGGGAATAGCCCCTACCACAACCAGAAGTTCTATACCACAACCAGATGGTCCCTTCTACAACTGAAAAGCGGACCTCTTCACAACCGGTCCCAAAATCACAAGACCGGACGTTACTGCAACCAGAACAGCGCATAATCAGTTTACCATGAGATGCACTTAGAATTCTGCACTTGGAATGCTGCGCTTGGAGTGCTGCTGGAGGGGTGCTCTTGGAATGCTGCTCTTGAATTGGTGCTGGAATGATGTTGGAAAGATGCTCTTGGAATGCTGCTGTTGTAATAGTGCTGGACGGGTGCTGTTGGAATGGTGCTGGAATGCTGCTCTTGTAATGGTGCTGGACGGGCGCTCTTGGAATGGCGCTGGAGTGGTGATCTTGCAATGGTGCTGGAGGGGTGATCCGGTAATGGTGCTGAAGGGGTGCTCTTGGATTGGTGCTGGAGGTGTGATCTTGTAATGGTGCTGAAGGGGTGCTCTTGGATTGGTGCTGGAAGGGTGATCTTGGAATGCTGTTGGAGGCATAAGGTCCTGTACTGCTTGTGTGCTTACCGTGACATTCAGCAACAATGTATCATGATTGTCCATGTGCCTGCATGTCCAAGCTATGGGTGGTAAGGTTTCGGATGTATGGGTCAACTTTGAAGCTGCTTTCTAGGTTCCCCCGAATTAACTTTACTTAGGCTTAATTATCCCTACCAACAATCCGCGCATGTTGCTGTCTTCCGTGCCATGACTGTATTAGGTTGCAGCCATATACCTTGAAATTTCGTTTTGATCATAGCTAAGTATTATCATTTGGCCCGTTCTGGTTCCTTGCATTGGGAATAATTAATCATAGCTAAGTATCATTATTTGGCCTTGTCTGGTGCCTTGTACCCTGAGATTCGGGAGAAGTCATAGCTAGATATTATCATTTAGCCCTTATTGGCTCCTTGTACTTGAAATTTGGGAATAGTCATGGCTCAGCAATATCAAATGGCATTTTTCGCATTTCTTGTCACGCGCACCCTGATATTTGGGAATAGTCATAGCTAAGTATTACCATTTGGCCCTTTCTGGTTCTTTGTACTTTAATTTGGGACTTGTCATAGCTAAGTATTACGATTTGGCCTTGTCTGGTGCCTTGTACCCTGAAGCTCAGGAATAGTCATAGCTATGTATTATCATCTGGCCTTCTCTCATTCCCTGCCATGCATACCCTGATTTTTGGGAATATTCATAGCTAAGTTTTATCATTTGGCTCTTTCCGGTTCCTTGGACTTGAAATTTGAGGATATCCATAGCTTAGTATTATGATTTGGCCTTGTCTGGTTCCTTGTCCTGATATTTGGCAATAGCCATAGCTAAGTATTATCGTTAGGCCTTGTCTCGTTCCTTGCCATGCATACCCTGAAAGTTGGGAGTGGTCATCGCAACGTACTGCGATTTGGCCTATACTGGTTCCTTGTACTTGACATTTGGGAATAATCATACCTAAGTATTATGACTGGGCCTTGTGTCATTTTTTTTATACCCGGAACTTTGGGAATAGTCATAGCCACACAGTACGGTTTGGGCATTTCTGAGTCCATATACCACGAAGTGCTTCAAAGATGTCAATTTTATAGGCGCTCCCTTCCAATTCAATCTCTTGGTACTCTGACGAACGATGGTCCGTACTACAACTCACGGTTCCTTGGATTAAATCGAAGTTCCTTCACTTGGAATACAAATCCGATTCTGAAAATCTTGCTGTCCTTGAAGTTAATAACTTGTTGTGATAGGGGGGTTCGTGGTTTTCCTGAAGTCAGCCTCCGGTTGCTGTACGGACCGTCTGGTTGTGGTATAGGGCTTCTGGTTGTAGTAGGGACTAGTCGCCCTCCGGGGGTTGGGGGCCTGGAATCGAATGGCCTCACACGAAAGCGCGATTCTGAAGCAATAAGTGTGAAGAATCATGAAAACATCGACACCTGATGAAAATCATAGAAATGATATGTGAGGAGAATGATGGAAATTTGTGGAAACTGATGGGAGATGATGGAAACCTAATGAAAAAATACCGAAAATTATGATACTGATGAAAAATGATGGAAAATGTGAAAATTAGGAAACTTGATGAAACATGATGAAAACAGATGAAATGTGATTTAAAATGAAGAAAAAATGAAAATCATGAAAATTATGAAAATTATGGAAGTGATGGTAAAAATGATGAAGTGCTGGAGAAGATGAAAGTTGATGAATATGATGAGACATGATAAGATATGATGAAAATTATGGTGATGAAATGAATTAAAAATGCTGGCAACTGCTGAAAAGGGATGCAAATGATGAACAGTCATGGAAATTATGATGGAAGATCATGAAACATGATGTGATGACAGATGATGATAAAACTGGGAGAATGAACAAAAATGATGAAAGATAACGGAACATCCTGAAGTCATGAAATGATCTGAAACGGTGAACCATGGCAAGCATGGATGGCCTGAACAAAAAAGGTAAGCTCGCCACTGGCCGTGGTTTTGCGCAGCCGGAGAATGCTGAAATGTATTCAAAAAGTCAAAGAGTCAACAAGTTTTACTTTTCGCAAAAAAATGTCACTTTTGGACTTTTCGGCCAGTTTTCTCACTCTCCGACTTTTGGTGCAAAAATTCAAAGAAGTCAAACTTTTCGCAAATAAAGCTGCACTTTTCGACTTTTCGGGCAGTTTCGCACTTGTCCACTTTTCGGGCAAAACTTCAAAAAGACAAACTTTTCGCAAAAAGTTGCACTTTTCGCAGAAATTCACTTTCCGACGCTTCGGCAGTTTTCTCACTCTTCGACTTTTGGTGCAAAAATTCAAAAAGTCAAACTTTTCGGAAAAAGTTGCACTTTTCGAATTCTCGGTCAGTTTTCTCACTTTTCGACTTCTCGGGCAAAAAATCGAAAAAGTCCAACTTTTCGCAAAAAGTTATACTTTTCGACTGTTCGCTCAGTTGTCTCACTTTTCGACTTTTCGGGCAACCTCTCAAAAAGTTTTACTTTTCGCACACAAAATGGCATTTTTCGACTTTTCGGGCAAAAAGTCAAAAAGCTTTTACTTGTCGCAAAAATTGACATCTTTTCGGGCAGTTATCTCACTTTTCGACTTTTCGGGCAGTTTTGCACTTTTCGACTTTTTGGGCAGTTTTCTCACTTTTGGACGTTTCGCGCAAAAAAATCAAAAAGTCGAACTCCTCGTAAAAGGTTGCACTTTTCGGCAGTTGATTCAAAAAGTCTACGCTGAGCTCAAGCCTCCTCAAAGGAACTCGCCTCAAACCAACAAGCTTTCCGAGAACAGGTTCGGCGTGGGCGTGCGTTCTGGAGCAGCTGGATGCCAAAGAAACGAATCGGAAGCCTTAAAGACTGCCTTGTGGCTTGGGGGCCAGTGCAGTTTAGTCTGAAGCCCTAGGGTTTCTCGGCACTCTTCAACTGTTCGGGATTTTTCGACTTTTCGTGTTTTAGGTTACTTTTCGACTTTTCGGTTTTTTGTGCACGCTTCTGAACTTTTTCGGGATTTGTCGATTTTTCGACTTTTCAGTGTGTTTGTTACTTTTCGGTCTTTTCACTTTTCGGAACTTTTCGGATTTGTTCGACTTTTCGGGTTCTTCGTTACTTTTCGGCTTTTCGGGTTTTTGCCTACTTTTCGGAACTTTTCGGATTTTTCGGCTTTTCTACTTTTCGTGTGCCAAAACAACTGTTCGACTTTTTTCGGCTTTTCGTATTTTCGGGCAATTTTTGCATTTCTCCGCCTAAATCCGTCCACAGCCCTTCGCAACCACAGAAAAAACAGGGGGGGTTGGGGGAGGCGCAGCCCCCCCCATTTGCAAACAAAATGATCTGCATAACCCCCCTTGCTGATGAAATGGTGATCCTTTGTTGTGGCAAGCTTGGATGACCTCCAAAAACCGGTAGTGTTTGGGGGGAGGGGGGCAACCCCCCCTTATAAGCAAACAACATGATCCGCACAACCTTGCCTTACTGCAAACATGTTGATAACATGACGCTTCTTTTCATTGCAAGACGGCTTTAAAAAGCGGGGGAGGGGATGGTTGGGGGGGTCACAACCCCCCCATTTGCAATCAGAATGATCTGCACAACCTTCCTCTATCTTCCTATACTGCAAAGCTGATAATGATATGGTGCTTTGGTTTATTGCCACAAGCATGGAGGGCTTCAAAAATAAAGAGCGGGATGGGATTGGGGGGCGCACCCCCAATTTGCAAACAAAATGATCCGCAGCACCTTCCCTTACTGCAAACCTGGTGATGACATGATGTTTCTTTCATTCGAAAAGCCACGGGTGGGCCACTGGAGGGAGGGGAAACCAGAAGAACGCGAGAAGAACGCGAGAGGCCCACGTGACCAGAGGGCCAAGTGACCAAAGCCACACCAGGACCGAGCCACATTGGAACGCTTCAAATGCCGTAAGTAAATTACAGCATTTGCTGGTCTAGCCTGGGAGCACTTCAAATGCTGCAGGGTACAGGATTTTTTGAAAGGGACCGAGGGACCACAGGACCACCGGACCACGGGACCGGAGGACCCCAGGATCAGAGGACCGAGGCACCAGGAAAAAAGGGGGCCCTAAAAAAAAGAAAAACTAAGTCGCAAAAAACAAGCCCTTCGAAACAATTCCTTGAGACTTCGCGCTGCCTTTGCTGTGCCGATGAGCTCTGCCGCTGCCTTCTTTCATACGCACAGGAAGCGGAATGGTGAAAGAGCAACTCCCCAACGGAAGGCACCCGCCTGGCCCCAACAGGTCGCAGAGTGCCGGCCATCCAACTGAGTAGGTGCGTTCGTCAACACCACGCCAGGATCCTTGGGATAACATCCGAAGAGAAACAGTGCAGACACATGCGAAGCTTCGGGGATGCGGCTGTGCAACCGCCACATCTGCTCAACATGCGCAGACGTATGCCGTATAGCTGGGCAGTTAGATGGTTACACTTACACTTGCACATGGACCGCCTGGAGCAGCCTCTACTTGCCACAACCTTTTTCAGCCAGGACTCGGTCTGGCTGAGTTGGGCTTCAAACCACCTGTACTGCTGAGTTCGTGTTGGTAAAATGCACAGTAAGTACAAAAAATGCAAATCCCAACAACCCGTCATCCGTCTCACAGTCTCATCCCGCTCTTCCCTGCATCATGCACTTGAGATCACTTGAGCTCCCAGCCATACAACCATGTTGCAAATGCCAGGAGCTTTGCCATGAAAGCCATACTGCCCCCGTACTGGGATTGCATCCACATCAGCCTGCACCGGAACGTCTTCAAATTCAGCACCCCAAAGATTAGGCACTAACAGCGGAAACCTGATTTTTAAAGTGCTTCACGCAATTTGCCCAATGATAGCTCCAAAGTGTACATATTTAGCGGTCATGAGAGTCTGAGACCCCCAAATTTAGGTCTGCTCTGACAGCTCCACCAAGCCTGCAGGCTTCTCACAAGTATCTGCTTGTCTTCCAGAACTCTCCAGATTTTGGGAAAGACTGTAAGATGGCACTCGACTGGCAAAACTTGAGAGGTGGCGTGAACAGGTCGAAGAGCTGACTAGCTTCCCACCTTGCCGAGTTCCACTTCAAAAAGAGAGACCGGCTCCGTGAGCACTTTGAAGTTCCCTCGCAAGAGAATGCCAGAGAAACAAATCATGACCAAACAGCACAAGTGTGGCGAGGTCCTTCATGCTTGTCGAGGTCAACGGCGAGCCAGAGGGAGCCATCGAACGCGCGATCGTTAGGCCAAAACGGCCAGAAAGCATCAATGTTGATGCCATCAATGTCTGGTAGCCTCACCTTCAAGGGCAACGAAGCGCTGAACAACTTGCACTGGCACGACATACTGCACAGCCCTTGCCTCGCAGAGAACTGCTTTCAGCCGTAGGCGGCATGGGATAACGGGTGCATGCTGCTTGCAGAGACGCCTTTTGGAGCCCTGCCAAATGACAGACGTCCAATACTGCTCATCTGCTGTACCATGCTGTGCCTGCCTCTGTAAGGAGGATCAAGTTCCTTGCAAGTTTGCAAGCAGGTCAGGCGTTGAAGCATGCATTTGCTGGAGTCGGACCTTCCGCAAAGGCAGGGCACAAACCTGGTATCCTGCTGCATCAAAGCGTCTCGCCCAACCCAGAGGCATCCATCAGCTCGCTGACCAGCACGTCAAAACGCTGTTGCTCTGGTAACTCCGAAACGCCCCTTTCAACGGACGCATGCAGCCAGCGTGGCTCAGAACAGCAGCATGACCCTGCTGTGCCTTACATCTGTGCACCAGATGTTGAGCGGACTGTGCCCTAAGGCATTGGAGGTGCGGTTGGCCGAGATCACCTCCTGCGGTCGGAGGACCAGCGCAAAAGGCGAGAATACATTGAATAGAACAAGACCCTCCTCCGAAGCACGAGCAATCTGCGCGACGTACTCAACACCTGAGGCTGCTGTATGGCGCAAGAAAACATTCCCAGACATGTAGCTGTGTGCCTTTCAAGCGCACCATGCATGGCATGCTGTGACAGCTGAGGCTCCAATCGCCGCGGTCGCACCAGATCGGATTGCCATCATTGACAAGATGCCTTCGCGGGTCGCCAAACAAAGTCGAGGTCTTTGAAAATGGCAGGAGCTGCAACCAGATTCTAGACAATACTAGACAGCAACCCCCGGCGCTTGCCCGGGAAACTGTCGGCTTGCCTGTTTTGCCGAAAGCCTCATACCCACTCTGTTTTCTCTTTGCGCTCACACGAATCTTACGCTGAATCGACAGGCTGTATTTGCATGATTCTTGCGCAGCAGTCACGGGCATCTGTGTCTCAGTAAGGAAATGATCACAATCTCTCTGATTCAGGCACAACGAGCTTCCGATGCAGTACTCAGGCAAACTGAGATGCCTCATTGAAGTGCCCTTGTCTTTTTGTACACATGGCTGCAAGTGGATTTTGGTAATGATGTTCGCCCGGGCCGCGCTGGCCATCATGTGCCTGATGCGCTTACCCTTGCCCAGCAGGTCGCGCGAGAGAGCTGAGAATGCCAGAGCATTTGCAATGGACACCTGTTGACGCAGGGAGTTGTGTGTTTCGCGTCCATCATTTCGGGCTTGGGGGGGCGCCGTTTCGGGTCCGCCATTTCAGGACTGAACCGTTTCCCTTCTACGAGTAGGTCGGTTGGGGTCGACCGGCCGTCTGTTTTGGGCCCGCGGACTCCGATCTTCCGCGTGGAGCGTCCTCAGAATCCGGCCTGCGGTCCAGCCGACCTCGGCCTCCGCTCTAGCCGACCTGAAACAGCGGCCGATCTGAACTGGCCTGTCCTGCAACCTGAAATGGAACATGGGCGGACACGAAATTCCGACTCGAAATTCCGACCGAAAACGAACGGCCACCATCTGAATCTCCTTTGATGCAACCTTCCCTATTGAAGACCTGCCCCGCTGCCAAGACTAAGGTGGTGATGACAAGATGCCATCACCACTGCCGACGTCCAGGACTGTGCAACCACCACCACTCTTCTCCTAATCACATGCAGCTGTCCAAGATTGTCCAAGTGAAACAGATGCCAGCATATGCCAGCATGCAGAGGCCACCTTGACCTTTGAGATCTCCACTTGCAATGCTCTTTCGTAGAGATCGTGCCTAACGCGCATTCAGGCACAGACAGCAGCAACTCCCATCAAATTTGATGGCTGCGAGCTTCGAAAGCTTGGCCTCGCGGCATCCCTCAACATCTCGAAGTACCAATCAGACAGGGCCATGTACCCAAACGGCGGCACGACGCTCCTTGCCTGAGGCAAACATGACCAGGGCTCCTCCCCAACGCCATGGCAACTTACTGAAGCAGCTGTTTACAGCAAAGAAGGAATCCTAACTTGGGGCAACAGGTACAGCAAGGAACCAGGCCGTTGGTTTTGTTTTGCAAGGTCAGCCCTACCCGAAGTCTAGAGCATTACTGTGGCCCAAAGAGGCCAGCATCATTAAGCTTGCCTGACGAGTCCAACGCCCATGCTATAAGACTATCAACTGATAGGAACCTTGGCTAGCCCTGAGGCAGTATCTTGTGTGTCTGTACTGTCTAGAGCTGCCGAGCTTGCCTTGACATCAGCCAAGAAGCAAAGTCCCAATCAATCCACACTCGGCCATCGTTCCGCCGAGCTGATAGCCCCGGGACAGCCTCGTCTCTACAGACCGATGGAAGCACTTGGAGAAGAAGCGCCTGCCCTGGAAACTCCCCTACTTGACTGCCATCTGCGAAGGTGATAAAAGCACATCAAGTGGCTTGACCCGCATGCACAGCCAATCCACCCGGCATCCATTGTGCGAAGCGTGTGGAAACACTATTGCCAGACCTGAGCATGCCAGAACTTGCTACTGTTCTTTCCAATCTGTCCATGTCTCCTTTTTACACTTGAACCCTGACTGCCTGCATTACGCCATGCCCCTGACTGCATGTCTTTACTGAGCTGCGGGAAGCAGATCTCAGCGAGGATCACAGCCACCGAGGCGATGCCGGTGGCTGTAGCGGTGAGATCGAACGGCACTGGACCCTCATCTGCCGCTGGCAGGTCTGAGAGTTTCAACTCCTGAGTATGATGTGCTGCCAGACCTTCCAATGATGCGCTTTCTGCTCAGCACACAACGAAAATGGCTTGGAAGTTGGTCAGCAGGACCTGGCTTCCAGAGATCGAATTGCTTGCAATGCCTTTGCACTGCTAGCTCTAGGCCATGCACGGGATTGAGAGCTGTTGCGTGTGCAGACTCCTCCGTACCAACCTGGGCACAGAACTCCACTAACACGCGAAGCGAACTTTGTGCAGAACAGTTAGCCTTGACTTCCCAAGAGCTGCAAACCCGTCAAGGAGGGCCTTCAGCGCACCAACGGCCAACGCACGGAAGCCTGAGGTGCACAACAAGCGTCAGACCCAGGGCACCAAAAACCACATTAAGCTTATCAAACACTTCTCCGCTTGGACAAGTGACGGAAGTCCATGGCTGAGAGGTCGAAGCCTGAGGCCTTGAGGCCAGCGTCTGCCAGCGCAACAGAGATACGGAGTCCAGCAGGGAGGATGCATCCTGGACGACACATTCGAGCAAGGTTCTTGATTTCTTGTTTCTGCCTTGAAACTCTCATCTTGCCCGAGTAAGGACAAGAATCTCAGAGGAGCAGAAGAAGCCGCGGCAGCTTTTCGCAGCCCCTGCATTGGGCCCCAGCCTGAGCAACAGCACCAGAAGAGATGCTTGTCAAGCCCACGGTTTTGATAAGTTTCTGAGCACTCCAGCCAAGCAGACCAAGACCATGCCATCGGTCCACGACAACCATGTCCCATGTCTCGTCTGGTATAGAATCTGAAGATACATCACAGCAAGCCACCTGGCGTTGGCTGTTCAGACTTGCAAGTAAACCCAAGCTATGACGAGTGCATGATGTTACTGTAAACAAAGACCTGACCTGTTCCGGCAGGAGGTTTCGGTGCAGTACCTGCGAAGCACATGGCATTGGCTCTGCTTCCATTGCCGGGCAACTGTTATGCAGATATCTGATATGACCACATCTCTGGACAGTGGCCTCACGCGCCGCAGCGGCAACATCCGGGGTGGGTTCCCATACCACAACCCGTGCCGCGCCGGCACGACAAGCAGACACAGCTGACACTCCTGCCAGACAGCTGGTCTCTGATCGAAGCACCCGCAAGCCGCAAGTCTCATCCGAGATCCGCACCATGGCCACCAAGCACCAGGACCTTCGTCAATGCCTTGCCCTCCAGCTCCGCAACCAGCTCCCGGGATGTGGCAGCCAAGAGTCGACCCAGGGCTCCTTGTCAAGCACAAACACTACCGATTTCAAAAGCACGCCTGCGGAGACCTCTGCTGCCCTGTACTTTTTGTTGGATAACTGTGGCTCTCCTTCTCTCTGTGCTAGCTCCCGTGCCCGTGCAGGGAGCGCATCAATCTCCGACATCTGTCTCGCATGCTCCAAGAGCCTAGCAAAGAGTTCACTAGGCAACTGCAGGTAACGGCATGGTGGTTCTGTAAAGGCCTGCCGGGTCCCTCTGTGCTCCACAGACTCGGATCTTGAAACTTGCCTGCCAGTGTGATGGCACAAGCACCGCAGCTGCAAGACAGGCACAAGCACTTGTTGGGCCTGCACTTTCGGAAAGCAATCGTCGGAGTGCTGCATCCCCGGTGCTGTCACAGAGAGCGGAGGCAGTTTCGCTCAGCGCATCTGGCCTCAAGGGAAGCCGAAGATTTCTTCTACTTCTACATCCTTAAACTTGTTTCGCTCCTTTCTTCTTTATTGCAGTCATGTCCAGCGCATGCTGCAGATTGAGTCACAGGCTGCCAAGCCACGTGAGCGGTGCTCTCAGAAGCTCCGTACGAAATTCCAGACGATGCTTCAGTAGAAACTCTTTGCATTCTGCAAAAGCCTGCGGGCAAAGCACGGCAGAAGCATAAAGCCAACTAGAAGCATTGGCATCGTAGCCTCAGCAGCCTGAAGCCGCAAGACATGTTCTTTCTGCTTCAGATCCACCCAGGTGCTCCCTGCCACGTGCTCAGACCAAGCCTGGCTGTGCTGCACTGCGCTTCAAAGCACCGTGCTGTGCACAAGCTCCGGACCTTCTCTGGGCCCCCTGCCTCTGCAGATGCCTCCACAAAGTCGGCATGCGCCAACTGCTTGCGCCGGAAGGTTTGCACGGCAGGAATCCCGGCGTCACGCTCCTTACGTCAGCGCTGCAATCACACAATATGTTCAATATTGAACGAGCGCAGAACCAACCAAACTTAACGTCATCTGCCATGCAAGAATCCAAAACAGAACTTGGAGTTGGCGGCGACTTCCAGTCACTCACTGCCTCGGCTTCCCAGAGGCTCAAGACAGCAAAAGCGGCCAGGCTACACAGCTGCATCAGGCTGGTTGCTGACTTTGTTGCGGCAGCACTGCAGCTGCTCGAAATGTAGCCAGAAGCCTGGCATCTCACAACGAAACAAACATAAGACTTGTTTCTTCAAACCTTCATTCCTGAATCAGCAGGAACATCCAAGGCTAGGGTAGCACCACCATGCGCCTGTGCTTGCACTTGAAGGCAGCAGATTCCCCATACCAAGTTCGACCAAAGCTGTTTTCGGCCTGTGCAGGCTCCGCAGCTCCACAGCTGATAAGCCTCCGCCACGGCTGAAACGTGCAGGGTTCTCGACATCAGTGTGTTGGCAAACATTTCACATCTTGCCCATCTACAGGACTCTAGCCCTCAGACCTCTGCAAGATGATGCTTTCGGGATGAGATTGTAAGCCTTCCTCCAGAACCTGCAGGGTCAGGCTTGCAAGGTGTAGTGTCATCCGCTTGTGCAAATCTCTGAGCATGGCCTGACGCGCAGCTCCTTCTAATCCCATGTCGCAGAAGTCCTGAGCACGGTCCACAGGGCTGACAACTGGCCGACATCGCGATTGCACGAGATACAAGGAGCCAAAATATGCTTGAGTCAGGGCGATCCTTGTGAGCTTTAGCATAGTATTCCTCGCTTGCCGCCATGGCCACTCAGCTGCTTAGCTGGAGCACTGCACGTTGCGCTCTGGGAGCTCCAGCTTCGTATCAAGCTTCGTACTGTTGACTGCCTATGACTTGTCATGAAAATGTATTTCTACACTAGTGAATTCGCAGCAAAACTCCCGGCAGTGAACTTGCAACGGACGTTCTTCCTCGAGGCAAATACTGTGCTGCAGCAGCAACGTCCACACAAAGCAATGCAGGAACAGCCGCCAGAGCTGGAATGACACACTGCAAGATGATGACAGCCGCTCAGCGATCAGCACTCAGCGTCTGCTGGCAGCGGCTGCATATTCTTGTCATGCCTGAAGGCAGCCCCAGCTCCCTCGGTCCTGGAGCAGATACCAACAAGCTTTAGCGTCCTTGCATCAACTGTCCACATTTCCAAAACAGAAAAGGAGCATGCGGCAATGCTCGGCAAGAGTTGAAAATGCCTTGCCTCGATCCGCATGGTCTCCAGAGATGCCTGCATCATCTGAATGCTGCGCCGCCGCATGCCCTGAAGGGTTTGCTGCAAGAAAACAAATGTTTTCGCCTTTGGCACCTCCCTACTACAACATGCTCGTTTTCAAGCTTGGCACCTGTCATAGCAGCGTGGCCAGAGTCTTGCTGTGGGAAGAGTCTAGTAGTCTCGTTCAACATTCCGCAGTTCTTGACAACAGCTCAGTAGTAGCACCAGTTTGGTGCAAGTCCCTCTCTCTGCCAACTTCCACAACACCAGCTATCCGTACACTCCTCAAAGCAGAATGCTGCGCAAATCTTGACCCAAAGTCTTCCATGCAACAGGGCACTTCTACAAGAACATAAAACACCTCCGACCTCACGAAAGCCAGGTGAGCACAAGCCATTTTCACCACAATTGCACTGCGGTCTTGAATGAGCAAGCACGCAGAACAAACCCATAGCCATGCAAATTCAAGGGCCAGGTGAGCAACAAATCGCACGCTTACCAAATATGACAATTCCATTATTTGACCACAAAGCTTTGGCGGCGATTCTGCTTGCACTTCTAGCCTTGCAGTACCGTGCTGTGTCGAAGCCTTGGCACCGCAAATCAAAATTCTGCCCAGGTTCAAAGACAAGGCAACCATTCTGTGCTGCAAGCCACTTGCCTGGTCTGCAAGCTTCACGCACAGTGGCCTTCCCTCCCTGCCGGTTCTGTGCTGTCAACAGTCTAAATATGATGTTATACTAAAATGTACATGCCTGATGTGTTTTTAGGTTGCTAGGTTGGTATGGATCATCCACATCTTCTAGCACCGCTGCATCTGTCGTGAAGTGCAGACTGAGAAAGGTCCGCGATTGACACCAGTGGTCAATACCAGGCTATTCTCCAAAAGCAAGCTTGCATCATGGCTTCTTACGAAACCATGCTTATTCTCACAGCCTGCGGCGACTCTTTGCGTCTGCTTTGGCGATCGTGGCTAATCCGATGCGCAGCATGAAAACAACATGAGACAGTACAGGTTTGTACATCAGACATGATCATCCTGATCCTTTGCACTGCAAGTTTCATCAGACATGCGCCAGGCACCTCGCTGCTCCGAGGAAATCACAACTCATCCATTCTTGGTTGCAGCACTGCACCAACATTGGCTGACCAGAGGATCCCCAAACTCGACGACAAACAAGGGTTGGCTCGCTGCTGATTGAAGATTTGAGAAAACTGACTTCACTTTGTTTGGAGATGCTGCAATGCACGTGGCTGTGAATTCCTTCAGACGCTTCTGCGGGTGCATGACGCAGTTTGCAACCATCGCCAGCATTG